ATCTTCGTGGCGTAGATTAACACAATATAACCTTTTTGTTCTCTATTTTCAATTTCTTTGTTCTTCCCCCCTCCCCAGGCACCATTGTGGGTCATTTGACCTGTGCCCGGGTGGGCTAATTCCCGTAAAAAAAAAAAAATCGTAAGTCGAAAATGAGAAAATAATACATAGAAAATCTAAAATGGGTGTCTCTTTTTCTTCTCAGCACTACAAAACTCTCACTTTTAAGCTTGCCAACCATTTTAAAGGGAATTACAAATGAAAATTTTGTCAGTACACAGTGCAATCACTAACTCGGGACTCGAAAATACGTAAACTTGAAGAAATTTTGGTACGACTGGGGTGGTTGTATGTCCAGGTGGTCGTAAGTTGAGGAGTGACTGTATTTGTGTATGAAACAGTGTGATAGTAGTATGGAAGGCAACCACCTAGTGATGGCAGTGCAAGAGGATGGCTGCTTGATTATGCCATTGATGATGCAACACTTGGGCCCTCAGGTTTGCAGCCACCTGTTGCTGTAAATGATGGGGTAAAGCTGAGTCTTGAATTAAGAAAAACAGGTACATTGTTGATTCACCTTATTACCTGGATAAAAAATTGGTGGACAGACAATCAAAGTTGGGAGGGAAACACAGGAAGAGTTGTCATGTATAGACCAAGAAAGGCATTAGGGACGATACTAACTACGAGTGTACAGTATACATAATAGCTTTATGTATAGGCATTGTTTTTATGACATATCACAAGATAAGGCACTAACTCCTCAGCCACCAAGAAAGGCTCACATGAGAAGGGCAATTGATATTTTTATGTAGTTTACTTTACAAATATTTACTATTCATTTTGCATTCTCTCAATATTACTATAATCGATTTTTTTTTAGTTGGGGGTACAAGCTCTGCCCTCTTTGCAGCTCATTGGCTCATACATGTTAGATTAATATTGATATATCACAAATAAATCCATCTATAACTGTTAAGGATACCCAGTTCTGGCTCATTTTAATGCTGAATTTAATGTCTATAAAGATATAACTGCTTGAAAACATTAACTTTCAAGATATGAGTGGAAAAAGGTTTGAAATAAAGATTACTTACCGTCGAATTCACAAACAAAGTCACACTTTCGGAGAAGTGGGGGGGACGTCTTAGCCTAGTACCATCAGCTAGGAAACGACTATAGTTAGTATTCCCTTACTCTTGGTCATATTGCAGTTCAACAATGCCATCATATTGTACAGACTCGCCTGTGTCCAATAGTATACAGTACAGTAAGTCCTCGTTTAATGTTGCTCCCGACAACGTTGTTTCGTAATAACGTCGCTACTCTTTAGATACACCATGATACGGACAACGTCCCAACCAATTCGTTATAATGTCGTCATGGACTACTTTGTACGGCACATCACCCTCTCTCACTCAGTCATAGCGGAAGGAGGAGCCACCCTCTGGCTCGCAGTGACTGGCCACCCTCCTCCTCTCTACCACACACTCGCTCCACCTCCGTCCATCAGTGAGTACTGTACAATACAAAATTATTTAGTTTATTCATCTTTTTGGATGTATAATGCAGTAGGGTCAGGATATAACGCGAGATAAGGTCCAAGGATATTCATTATATCCTAAATTGCGATATATAATTACATCTAATCAATGGGGAAAATAGGGTTAGGTTCTGGAGGCCAATAAAAGTGCATGCTTTCAATCCATATTTTGAAAGCGTCTTCCATTTCTTGGTAAAGTGGTGGCCGGTAAGTGTTGGGTGGTCTTGGAAACTGTTGGTTCAGCAAATGCTGCATGAATCTCGTCTGTCTGATGCCACAAATGGTGCTTTCATTAACTCTGTAGCAGCATGCAACAACAGAGGCACTCCCTCCATGTTCAAGCTCTTTCAGAATCTTCACCTTATCACCATTGTTGATGGTTTTCCTCTTCTTTTTCTCACTTGAAATAGGGGGAGGGGTACTAGTACGCTTAGGCATCTTGGTAGACAGTAGTCGAGCACGTGGTGACCTTGACTGGAGAGCGAGAGTGAAGCATCTGCACGTGGGATGAGGTGAAAACAACAACAATAAATGGTGTGTGAAAGAACTTATGGCCAGAATGCATCCACGACTTTCAAGGTTTCCCCAGGTTCAAACCTTGAATGAGGTGCAACAAGAAATTGTGCACAGTTCAAGGACGTTGATCAAGATGGTGTGGTCGAGTTGTTGGAGTCACACAAAAAAGATCCGTCCAATGAAGATCTGATGTTGATGGAACAGGAGCAAGCTGCTGGTGAAGAGGAGGATATAGAACAGGGGTGGCCAAACCGATCCAGCCCCGGTTGATGTTCCGGAACGATCATCTAGGGCACCCCGGATGACGTTTGTGTGTCACGCCACACGCTCGGCCACAGGGAAGCTTCCTGAACATAATTACCTACTTTTGTTTGTTCTATTTTCATTGTTTGTTCATTTTATCAGGTTGCATCAAAGTAATATTGCTAAAAGTAGTGTAGTTGTATTGTAGTGTGTATTACTGGAAAATAATGCTATGATTATGATATAAATGTATTTATTTGTGGAATTATTATTCCACCACACTCCTGTGACCACCACTACCCACCACCACCACCACCCTACCTCACACTACCCACCACACTCCTGTGACCTCCAGCCACCACCACCACACTCCTGTGACCACCAGCCACCACTACCTCACACTACCCACCACCACCCACTCCTGTGACCACCAGCCACCACTACCTCCACTACCACCACCACCACACTCCTGTGACCTCCAGCCACTACCTCCACACTACCCACCACCACCACCACTACCTCACACTACCCCACCACCACCACACTCCTGTGACCCACCAGCCACCACTACCTCACACTAACCCCACCACCAGCCACCACTACCTCCCTACCCACCACCACACCACCTCTGTGACCACCCACCACCACCACAACACTCCTGTGACCACCAGCCACCACTACCTCACACTACCCACCACCACCACCACACTCCTGTGACCACCAGCCACCACTACCTCACACTACCCACCACCACCACAACACTCCTGTGACCACTGCCTCAGCACCCACTACCAAACTCCTGTGATCACACTAACTACTGTGTTTCCTTCACTACCACATGAGGATCATCTGTCTTAGAAGAACATTTTGGAGGGACAGCAGTTACTTAAACAATCTGTTGTGTCTTGAGAGTTGCCATGTTAAATATATCAATCCTTCTGGACCATTTCAGGTACCGTGGGAATTTTAAAGTCTTCCAGGTAGTAGATAATGACAAAAATTACGATGTTATTTACTTAGACTTTAGCAAAGCGTTTGACAGAGTACCGCATCAGAGGCTTCTGAGAAAAGTTAAGACTCATGGTATCGAGGGGAAAGTTTTAAATTGGATAAAATCATGGCTCACCGATAGAACACAGAGGATCAGAGTGGATGGTGTTAAATCTGAGTGGGGCTGTGTAACCAGTGGGGTTCTCCAGGGGTCAGTACTGGGCCCACTCTTTTTCATAATCTACATAAACGATCTAGATATTGGGATCAGCAGTGACATAAGCAAGTTTGCGGATGACACCAAAATAGGGTGGCAGATTAATTCAGGGCAGGATGCAAATGCACTACAGGAGGATCTAAATAAGCTGCAGAAGTGGTCAGAAAAATGGCAAATGAAATTCAACACCAGCAAGTGCAGCATACTTAATATTGGAAGAACAAATACTGTCAATGTATACAGCCATAACAACATCAACCTAGAGAAGGCGACTTGTGAATGAGACTTAGGGGTACTTGTAAGCCCGGACCTACGGCCTAGAAAACAGTGCGTTAATGTTCGAAATACCTAGAAGTGTAAATAATAAAAGTGCAGAGGTCTTATTGCAACTATATCTTGTGCTAGTCAGGCTGCAACTCGATTATGCTGTTCAGTTCTGGTGCCCTTATTATAGAATGGATAGCAATTCGCTGGAGTTTGTGCAGCGAAGAATGACGAAAATGTTTCCGGGACTTAGAAACCTTCCATGTCAGGATAGATTAAAGAAATTAAACTTGCATTCCCTAGAAAGACAAAGAGTGCGGGGAGATATGATAGAAGTATTTAAGTGGGTGAAAGGAATCAATAGAGGAAATATAGATAAAGTTCTTATAATATCCGAGCAGGATAGGACTCGTAGCAATGGATTTAAGTTGGATAAGTTTAGTTTAGGAGGGAGATAGGAAGGAACTGGTTCACAAATAGGGTGGTGGACGAGTGGAACAAGCTTAGCAACTTTGTAGTAAGTGCTGGAACTCTGGAGAGTTTTAAAAGGAGGCTAGATAGATTCATGGATGATAGAGTGGTAGTAACTCTCGACAGGAGCTGCCATGCACAGGCCAACCGGCCCATTGCAGACTCCTTATTTTCTTATGTTTCTTAGTTAGCCAACAATCTCTGTAATATGTAAAACAAGGGGGTGTCATCCCCCTCTGTTTAACTCGTTAAACTTCTTTTCCAACCTTTACCCCCACGACTATACGTTGTGCCTTCTCTATCCCTCATGTCTGACTGTGCCCTGAGCCCCAGCATGCCTTCCATTCATTCCCCACCTTAACCTAAAAAAAAAAAAAAAAAAAAAAAAATCGCGGGCTGTGTGCGTCAGGTCAACATTGGCCGCTAAGTACTTATTGTCGCTCGAACAGTATGTAGATCTTCTAATTTGACCAATAATGGGTTAAACCCATTGTACACCTTAAAAGAATATCTAGGTTGCTGAAAAAACAAATTTTTTCCACTTAAGTATCTCTTTAACACTTCTTTTTCTTGGTACTCGTGGTGTATCTCTTCCAAAGTATCTGGACAGTATTTTCTGGTACTTAAGAATGGATTATGTCTTGGTGATATATTTTAACCACCTATTCCAAATGATGTAGAGGGGAATGGATCAAGATTGATAGATAACATTTCCTATCAATTTAAACTCTTCTACAAAGGTTACAATGAAAGATCTTCTTTAAAAACATATTTAAAAAAATCTTTACTGTATTTTCTAACCAATACAAAATGTGTACAGTATCACTTAAACTCTCAGAACAAGGCATTTACAGTAAAAAAAACTCATATTTCATACCCAACAAATATATATATATACGTGCATGTGTGTGTGTGTGTGTACACATTTATGGTCTATCACACAAGCTTTTTCCCACTTGTTTTTCCATCATTGCCAAGTGTTTGAGCCATTTTGTCTGATAACCCTAAATCTAGTACCGGAGTACTCGGAAACTTATTAATTTTGACTGGGACAGATAATGTAAAAGTACTGTTGTATTTTTCCCACAGGAGAAGGTGTCACTCATATTTGAAATTATGGGTTTTTTACTGTACACATAAATACAGTAGTATACATCACCAAAAATGGGTTTGGAGTACTAGAGTACTGTATCCTTCAAAAGTATGAAACAGGATGAGCAATAAAAAAAATATTAAAATGTTCCATGATTTTCATCCTATACTCAATATACCAGTAATCTCGATCCTTTGTAGCACTATTGTATATCAAAATGCTTATCTTTCCAAAACTTTAAAATGGATCCTATGGACCTGCCTGCCTGCCTGTTACAGGCAGTGTGAATACTGCAGACTAAGGAGACAGTGTGGTTGGCACTGCACTCTACTGCCTTGAATTTCCCCAATTGTAGTTAGGTACAGCACCATTTCTTATAATAGTTCAACTGAGGCACCCTATTCATTGGCCAGCAGCAGGACTCAAACTGATACCAATTAGGCGAGGAGATATTATACTGACTTGACACTGTGCTCCTGATTCCCATTTGAAAAGACATTATACAATTATGCATGTACAGTAGCTAAAACAACTATCTGTGCAGGTGGGAGTCGATATGCTCCGAAATTTTACGCATCACTAGTGACAGCCTTCACATACCGAAATTTATCGTCCATGGTTTCGTATTGTTTCCCACAAAGTATATACAGATAGTTGTTTTAGCTGCTGTACATGAAAGACAAGATAAAGATGTTCATATAAATATATTATTATTTTTTTTTAATGGTGGTACAGTATAAACAATAATCACTTAAAGTCTGAATGGTACAATCAAATATTATAACTGTCCTTTCTATTATGCCCAATATATCTGGGTCAATCTAGACACAACACACTGTCTCCCAAGCTTTAGTACACTATGAAGGCAACATTACTAGCAATGCACTTGACTTTCACTTCCCAACTGTAAAGTTAGGTGACCATTACAACTGGGTGACCTGGGAGTAACATGGCCACAAACCAGCAACCCAAGGAACAGGAGGTGAGCACTGTATTCACAAGGCCTTCACACATCTTTAGTTTCCAGCATAGAGAATATTAACCATATTCCTATAACTCCAGAATCACAGTACTGTACATTTCACTGAAAACTTATTTCTTCTGTTGTGGTATATAAGTGTACAGTATTGGATTAGTACACCATCTATCACAAAAGGATGACAAATTCCTCAATACTATGATATTGGTATGCTCTTCTTACAGTATTTACTACAGCATATTTATAACTTACTATCATTTAGTGGCACACAATCTTCCTACAAGTTGCTGGGCAAGGCGTAAGTATGTTAAATCAATATGAACCGAACTGCTGACTCCAGGCACAGCTGTGCTGGTTGATGGTAGAGGTGAAACTGCTGGTCGTCGACCCAACCATCTCATGAAGAATGAATTCTGCAGAAGAGATTCTTAATCAATCCTATTTAATTATTATATAGCACTGTTAGGAAAAAAAAATCTTATTCTCAGTACAGTACAGTACTGCGAATGCAGATTCAAATGTTTTGACAGTATATCCTCCCCCATTGGCTGGGGGATAAATATAAGGAGTCAAAAGTCCCCCTTGGATGTTCATTAATATGTACTAATCCCTTTACTAGTGTTGGCTTTGACTTTGATTTTTCTAATGTTTCATAATGACAAAATTATAAAATATTTATTGGTAGTGTTTGGTATAATTTTTGACAATCTCTTGAATGTGCTTTCCTTTCAGATAACAGCTAAAACAGACTATTGTATACAGCAGGGATGTGATTGGTTCATAGAAAAAATAAATAAATAAAAAAATTAAAATAAAATTGAGCTGGGGTCCGGTGAAACACCTACCCGAAAGTTTTTACCATATTAAACTAAATTTCTCACATCATTACTTATTTTGTGAGTGCCTAATAGTTAAAATACACAGTACTCATAATCAAACATGTACTGTATGTGTATTGCAACAATAGTTTTCAAGCATATAGTCTTAATAATTCCTTTACAAATTTTAGTCGTTACTCAAGTTGAATGTTTAATATTTTTAATTATGCACCATTACTGAGAGAAGATAAACTAAAAGGTAAGATTTTTTTGCACTGTATTGTGTAAGAATTCAAAATTTAATATTTACCAAAGGGATTTAACTCTAATGCACCAGTTTTCTTTCCCAAGTAATATTCACTAAGTTGGTTTGGTTTTATTCTTAGTTTTAACTGCATCAGCTAATTTTATCAGGGAGAATAAACGCTTCTGCTTTTATTGTTGGAAGGCCTCTCTGCTCTTCCTTGATTTTTGAGCCATTTCCTCACACTGTTTTCTTTGATTCTGTTTCTTTTACAAAAATTTCCTCTTATTTTCTTCCTGCTTCAACTTCTGCTTTAACATGCTTCTCAACCTATTGCTGGAGAGTTTTATGTAGGGTCCCCCTCGTGGGGGACACACACATGCCCTACAGCCCTGAACTCCTGGGGTACACACACACACATGCCCTACAGCCCTGACCTCCTGGGGGACACACACACACATGCCCTACAGCCCTGACCTCCTGGGGGACACACACACACACATGCCCTACAGCCCTGACCTCCTGGGGGACACACACACATGCCCTACAGCCCTGACCTGGGACACACACACACATGCCCTACAGCCCTGACCTCCTGGGGACAAACACACACGCCCTACAGCCCTGACCTCCTGGGGACACACACACACACACACGCCCTACAGCCCTGACCTCCTGGGGACACACACACACACACACACACACGCCCTACAGCCCTGACCTCCTGGGGACACACACACACACACACACACACGCCCTGCCCTGACCTCCTGGGGACAGCCCTGACCTCCTGGGGGACACACACACACACATGCCCTGACCTCCTGGGGACACACACACACGCCCTACAGCCCTGACCTCCTGGGGGACACACACACACACACACACACACACGCCCCTACAGCCCTGACCTCTGGGGGACACACACACACACACATGCCCTGACCTCCTGGGGACACACACACACGCCCTACAGCCCAGACCTCCTGGGGGACACACACACACACACGCCCTACTGAGTTGCCTATACAACTGTGTAATATGGTACGGGTTATAGAATAATTTGTGATCATCAGAAAGTAAAAAATTATTATAGAAACTTTGTTATATTGAAAAATGCTTAGCACCTCTCCCTGCCAGTGGTGGTGGGAGAGAGTGGATAGGGTGGAGGGGCATATTATAATGCTTTTAATAGTGGTGTTGTATGACATTATTGATCTTTGGTAAATTAAATAATAAAAAATCGAAGAATGGAATGTAAAACAAGCAATACTCAGCCAATGAGTAATAGAGTATATGATTTAATGCATGAGCATGTAGTGTGGCCACTATACAGTCAGTCCTCAACTTATGACGGGGTTAGGGACCGACGACCAGGTCGTAAGTCAAAAATGCGAAAATAATACATAGAAAATCTATAATGGGTGTCACTTTTTCTTCTCAGCACCACGAGAACTCTCACTTTTAAGCTTGCCAGCCATTTTAAAGGGAATTACAGACGAAAATTTTGTCAGTACACAGCGCAATCATTAACGTCGGGACTCAAAAATACGTAATTTAAAAATATTTTATACGACTGCGGCGGTCGTATGTCCGGGTGGTCGTAAGTCGAGCAGTATCTGTATACTGGCTCATCGTCCTCACATGGCAGACCCATCTACCCTAGAGGGTCAATTATTGTTATAAACTGCCAAACCTTTATCTCATCATGGTCATACCCCCTCCAATTTTTCTCAACGGATCTACGTGATTCACGTGAGTCGCCTAAAACGATGGGAAAAAATTGGAAAAAACCTGAGAAAAAAAAACAGAACAGAGAAATCACATCCTTACAGATAGGTCTGTATCCTAACCAAATGCAAGCAGAGACAACATTATGTCTGCGGACCATAAGTCCAAATATTTTCAGCCTGTTCACTATCCCTGCGATGGATTGTAGGGAGAAAACCTTCTAAATGTACTGTACTCCCTTTCGATAGATCATGCTGGGCTTATATTTAGGCCTAAAAGATCTTGATTGGACAGCCATAATTTTGAGATACAGTTACTGATTAATCTTAATAGAAAGATTTGCAAATAAACAAATGTAATGCTGTGTCTTTTATTTTTATTTAACTAGTTTTTTATAATTTACTGGGGATTTATTTTAATATTTGAGGTAATAATTTTGTTGCTACTTTTGACTTTCAGTACTAAAGGTACTTTATGAATTAGATACTTTTTTACTTCTACTTGAATAACATTTTGACAATATAACTACTTTTACTTAAGTAACAAAGTTCGGTACTTTTTTACAACTCTGCCTAATTCATACAAAATTCAAATTGTATATGCCAAAAATGAAAAAAAAACTGCTATGATAAACAATAAAATACAATAGCATATGTTTTATACACAAAAAATAGCTACTGTACTTCCACACTCAAACCATCCTACAGGTAACACAAGACACTTTAGTCACATCGGGGAAGGGAGGGAACATGGCTGGGTTGGTGAGTGATGATGTATTTACAGCCCACTGCCTCCACACATACGTTCATCTCCCAAACCTTTATCTTGTCATGGTCACACCCCTCCTCCATGCTCATCCCTTCATATTTCTTATTTTATTGTTTAATTTTATTTATTTCTAAGTCACATTGGAGTATCATACCAAAATGATTTTTCCCCAACTTTTGTAGTTTTATAAATATAACAACAGCAACATCTCACAGGCCACCTCATCATCCTCCAGTCTAAATAAACACTAGTGGTGTTATGGAGAGTATTGAAAGTGTGTACTGATCATTAAGATCTATAAAATAAATGGCATAATGTACAGTACTTCTAAATGGTTGTTGTCCTGAATTGGTTGATATCAGGACAAGAAATATTTACATTACGTTAAATGCATTAAATAAACACTCGAAATGGGTGATTACCTTAAGTAGCATTGTCGGAGTTTATATTACATCAAACTGTGTACAAAGTATAAATTTAGGATATCCTACAATATAAATTGATACTCAAGGTTTGTTTATGTGGATGGAGGTCAGTAATTAATGGTGGAGCTTAGTTGGTGAGCCCCTCTATGATCACCGGTTTTTACTGAAGGTGGTGAGTGTTGTGTTTCTCTGGTCAGGATCGTTAAGGAACTGACGATGGCAGGTAGGACGCATGACAGGATGCATGGCTGACAAAGGAATGTAGACTCGCGCAAAACTATTATCTAAATCAGGGGTAATTATTTACAATTCGGGTAACTATTAAATATTACTTTAACTAAATATAACCTAAATTAAATGCAACATTCTGTATATATAACTTCCTAACTAAATTTGTTACATTATTTCTATCGTTCTGCTATTCAACACTTTAGATTAGTAGTTACGATAATTAGTCCTATAATAAGTATATAAATAGCACAGTGAGCACACATTTATGTAAAATAAAAGAATGATTAAATTAATTTTAAAGCATCCAAAATAATAGTCAAAGTGAGCTTTAAATACTGTACTGACTTTCTAAAATACAGCACAATAAATGGATATATGGAATGGAAAGACACTCTACAATGTGCTACAGAGAAACTTATGTGCCTTCACTCATTACCACCCTGTCTCTTCCTTCCTGCTACCCACCTCGGTCACTCACCTTAGACCCTACCACATCCCCACCCAAAGTGTGCAGTGATATGTCAACACAACTGCAGCATTTCATAGCAGTGGAATAAAAAGTCAAGAAAAAACTTTGGTAAACACAATGTGTAATTAAGGCTAATGCCATGGGTGCTTATATAAATTACATTAAATGATTAAATAATTATTTCATGACTTGTGGGTGTGAACCACAAACCTAGCATGCCCTGAATATAGGCCAGCCTGTATTGATGAGTACAGTACTCATTTATACTGTATTTCTATTGACTTATAATAACATATACGGTACTTTATATTATTTGTGTGCTATGTCAGTTACTGGGAAAATGGCTCAGTATTGGATCATGAGACAGGGTTTGTACCTTTTTAAAAGAGGTTCACTAATGAATGTCCTTTTCTCGGATCACTACATTATCCCTGTATATTGTAAAGTGGATATTGTAAAATATAGCTACAAAAAGAATGAACATACCATCTCATCAGCCAGTCCATGGCGAACACGTAGAGCATCACGTGGAGAAGTTTCAGCACTCATTAGTGCCAAGGTAGACTGTGTTAGAAGCAGCAACAAGGCTTGTTCTGCAGAAGTGGCTAATACTCTCACACTTAAGCCAACTTCTGGCGCACCGCCACGACATGGTGATACTCCACGACTTTCCTGTTGGGGTTTTTGTTTCAAATTACTCGTGTATATAATACATGTGAAATACAGTATTGGTAACTTTTAAAGCTTTGTAAATTGAGGTCTACAGTATTTATATTTACAAATTCTGATAAATAATACACGAATACCTTGCTATTTGCAACCCTGTTAAACCGCAACTTATATTTTAACACCGCTATTCGATATTCTGAAAGCATACCCTGCTTATTCACAAATGAAAAACTTTGTTGCCCTACATTAATATTTCAAACCTGGCAGGCTAGCCACAGCTCTCATATTCCGACACAAGGCCCGCTTCAAACACGAGCATTTTTTTTCCGAGCTTATGGACCCGTGAGATTTAGAAATTAATGAAGTTCAATGGGACAGACGCTCATCCTATGCAGAGAGAAAAAATACACTGAGCATTCTAGAATTCTTCATATGATGAGTACAGTATGTTTTTCCTGTGCATCAGTTGTGGTGCATCTATGGTAGGGGCTGGAAGTGCCTGTGATTAGTCTTGTCAGATGCAGACGAAATGAAGCATGAGAAACACGCTCGTGTGAACACAGGCCTTCTCCCACACGGGTCAAAAACACTTGAGAAGAGTAGGTCCAAGTAGAGCCCTGCGTAATGAACATGTGTCACCAACCACCATCACTACATCACCTTACCTCTCTCCCTACAGGACCAACCCTTGAGATGTGTTGTAATTTTTCAACTCACAATTTTTTAGTAGATATATTGTAAGTATTTTAATTCAATTTCTTTTACTGTTACAGTCACACACAAATGATTATCATAAGCTCAAAAACATAAAGATAATCATTTCTTATGTCCTTAACAGTTAGTGTGCGAACGTTGGAGGGGAAGGGGGAAAGGGAGGTGGCTGGTGGTGGTGGTGGGTACTGTGAGGTAGTGGTTGGTGGTGGGAGTGAGTGGTCAGGGAAGAGCATTAACTTGTGATTCGGCTTCTCTTTTAATTTGAAGTTAAATTACAGTACTGTATATACAGTACAGGTAAACCTCTATTTATGAATCCCAATGTATGATAATTTGCATTAACAATGGAGATATATTAAGACCCTTTCCCTATTTGCAATACGGAATGCATCACTCACTTCATTTGTCAGCTGAGGCGTCACCTACCCGAATGCTGCCTCGTGGTTACATGTGTGTAAGCAAATGGAGCTCAATGTTTATCGGTCATTATTGGCATTTTTTTACCTTACAGTGAGAGGACGTCACTAATGTTCACATTGAACTCTGTTTTAGTGACTGAGAAGTTACAGACTCCTCAAAGTCTGTGTGGGATTCAGTTTGATGTCTGCACCCCACCTTTAGTTCATCTGCCAAAAATTCCCACTTATTAAAAAAAATCTCCAAATTAAAAAAAAAAAAAAAAAAATTAGTGCCCCCCGAAACCTATTAATTTTCTTTTAAAAATACCACCGAGGTATGATAACTTCTAGGTATTGAAAAAAAATTATTTATTTATGTCAGATCCCGAGTGTTCCACTTTCATATGCCCGTTTTCTAATAGATATATTTACAAGAATTATAATACAACCTTTCATAAAAAATTTTTTATTTTTTAATGATTTTTTGTTGAAATAGCAAAAACATACAACGTGGCAACACTGTGGAAGGTGTGTGGTGGTCGAGAGAGGGGCCAGGGAGTCAGAAGATAGCTGTGTTCACTTGACCCCCACTCCCCAGCCAGTGAGGCACAACTCAGCCTAGTGCACCATGCTCACTCTACTTTAGCTGAAGCTACACTTTCTTGCTGTTTTTACAGAAGCAGACATGCCTAAGACTTCAAAGAAGGTTTTGCATATGCATCAACTTATGGTGGCCACTGTAGAACTCAAGAAACAGCACAGGAACCAACAAGAACACTTTTTACTTGCTTCTTAAAGAAATGCATAGTACTGTATTATTCCTTTGTTGTTTGCCCTTCAGGACAATTATTTCTTTTTACCTGTATTGCCTGCCTTGCTTGCGTCTTTCACACACTACACACACACACACACACACACACAAAAAACACATAAATAATACATAATGAGAAAATCCTCTCACAAATAATCTGAAACAAGACAACAAAATGCATTGAAATGTAGAAAAATGTGAGTCTACCCTAAAGTCAACTCCATGCTTTGTTCTTAAAGGTAACTCAACTTTAATAACAAAGCACGGAGTTTACTTGAGGGTAGACTCATATTTTTTCTAAATTTTGTTTTGTTTCTTATTATTTGTGAGAGGATTTTCCCATTATTATTTATTTGTATGGGTTTTGAGTGTCTACACACACACACACACATTTACATTACAGGTAAAGGAAATTACTGTCTCTAGAACGAATGGCTCCCTGTCCCGGCCGCGAAAATACCAGCAACTTTAAAACTACCCGCAAGTCTTGCTTTCTAAACTTCCCTCTTATGGTTTTTCTCCCCCACTTTGTTCTCTAATTTCTAGCTTCCTTGAGAACTGATCCATGGCAGTTGCTGTCAAGGGATTAATTTCTTGCTCTTTCTCTACCAATAGTGGTGTTCCACAGGGTTCTGTTCTTTCACCTACTCTCTTCCTTCTTTTTATCAATGATTTACTTCACACTACAACTAATTCTATCAATTCTTACACTGATGATTCTACTCTTCAATCTTCTTCACATTTTTCCCTTCCCCCTAATTCTCAAACAAGATCTGTTTTTAGAGCTGATATTGTTTCATCTCTCAATGCAGCTCTGTGCAGCATCTCCAAATGGGGAGGCAGAAACTTGGTCAAATTCAATAGTAATAAAACTCACTATTTACCAATTACACTTTCCAAATTAGATGATCTCCAACCAATCACATTTCAGGATGCAATCATTCTGCCAAATTCTAAAATAGATATGCTAGGCCTCACCATTTCCTCTACTATGTCATGGAAGCCACACATCCACAATATAGCTAAAGCTGCTTACTGAAAGCTGGGAATGCTGTACAGATGTCATAGCTACTTCACTCCTGAGCAGTTGCTTCAAGTATATAAGGGATTCATTCGTCCTAACTTGGAGTACTGCTCTCATATCTGGGGTGACTCTTCTGTACAACTGTTAGATAAGATGGAATCAAAGGCATTTTATCTTATTATCTCTCCTCCTTTAGTTGATAATGTTTCTTCCCTTTCTCTTCGCCACAATGTTGCTTCACTCTCTCTCTTTTACAGGTACTTTAATGGGCAAAGTTCGGTGGATTTGGCATCCTGTGTACCGCCGGCAAGGCCGTGGGCTCGTAACACTCGTATTGCCCGAGGTGCCCACCTTTTCTCTGTGGATGTCGGTCACACTAGAATAACCCGTTACAGTTCATCCTTCTTTCCTCACACAGCCAAACTGTGGAATGCTCTGCCTTCTTCTGTGTTTCCATACTCATACAATCTGTCTCACTTCAAAAAGCTGGTTTTCCAGCATCTTTGTGGTGTAGATTAATATAATCATTTTCTTTTCTATTTTTAATTTCTTTTTACTCTTATTTTTTCGCCCCCTAGGCCCCGTTGTGGGTCGATGACCTGTGTCCGGGTGGACAATTCCCCGTAAAAAAAAGAAAAAAGAAGAAAACATTCTTGGGTACATCCAGGGTGTCATTTGCGAATAAACGAGAACCGCAAATTATCAGGGCATGCTGTATATAATTGTTGGTTATGCAAAGCATATGGAACATTAGCACAAGACACTGTACTTTGCATTTTAAAGTTGTCCTCAAATCTGTTAATTATGCCCCTCCCACACTTACCACTCTGTAAAAATATTAGAAGTACGTATACACCACGGTACGCAGTGAAAAAAAGGTTGGGAATCCCTGATCTAAAAGACCTAATGAGACTTTAACTTCAATTTGAGTAAAAAGCCACTGAAAGTCTTTATAAGACAAGGACTGATGTATGGGTCAGAAGTGTGGACACTTTCAGCTGACACCAAAATGAGATTGAAGGTCTTTGAGATGTGGTGTTATAGGCAAATGATAAGAATAAGATAAACTGAAAATGAAAACAAATGAAGAAGTACTAAGATTAGTAAATCTTCAAGAGAAACAATTAAAATTCACAGAAAAAAGAAAAATGAGATAGAGTACTTTAATCACACAGTATAAATTGGGATGCGGAGATAATAAAAGAAATATTTATGGACAAAGTTGAGAGTATGAAAGCCAGGGAAAGGCAGAGACTGAGATGGATGAATTAAATTAAAAACTGGGTCTCCAGAAAGACATAAAACCTTAGAGGATTGGTAAAAACAGGTCAAAAATGTTTAGGCCAACCCTCACATATGAGGACAGTACTCTGAAGTATTGATGTAAATAAACACTGTGGTGAATTATGAATATTTGACTGTTAAATATAAAAAAAAAGAGGTAGCAATAGAGGTATGGACAAATTTAAGAATGCAAATTTGTATTTCACGAATTATCACACTCACTGTACAAAATTAAAGTACTGTAGTTAGGTACTACGGTAGTTAAGTAGGGTATTTTTGTTGTTTGTGAAAAATTTAATTTATTTTAGGTATAATATTGAGGTTTTCTTTTTATTGGGGAACTGAACCAAATTTTCCCATTTGTTCTGTTATTCACTTTCCAAATGATTTTCAAGGAAACCAATCAATTCGGTATTGAGGGATGCCTTTACATTTAACTTACCTTGGATGCATGACTATCATAGAGATCAAGAACAGATGTCAGAGAAGCCAAACTAGGCTGAGCACTTGGGTCATGAGCAGACACTGGACGGAAAGATGGATGGAAGAAAAGGGTCCAAGCTGCCACATCTATGCCCGGCCCACACAAAAGGTCAGTTAAATCAGGACCTAAAGACCGGATGGCACCAAGACATGCGCACAGTACCTGCAAGTCATAATGATAATCACAGCATCCTTATACTGTATGTCTATAATATTACACCTCTACTGTAACAAATATTTGGGCAATATTCAAAAACATTTACCTAAAAGTCAGTCTTGTCTGTACCATATATCCCACTTTGATAAACAGTCACAGCCACAATCAACCAAACAAGAACTATGAGCAAAAAAAAAAAAAGAAAGTGCAATTGGAACATTAGAAAGTAAAATGAGTAAGAAACAGATTTTAAGAACTAACTTTCAACATTTGGTCGAGGACAGCAGTTGTGTTGGGAGAAATAGTTGTTGTTGTAGCAGAAGAATCAGATGTAACGCTACTACTGGTCCTCTCACCACTCAGCTCCATCTGTACTACCTGCCACAATAAACAATACAACATAAATAATTCACAACAACTCATTAATGCATTAGAATACCTGTACTTATTATATTATATTAGTATATTACTTTCTGTTTGAAAAATTACAAATGAAACAGTTTATTTTGGTTAGTTTAGTATTAGTTATTGGGTTCTTAACATATAACTGTCAGTCAGCACCAATAGATGTTTCATGTTCCTTGTGTTTCACTTTTTCCACATATGGGAGCATATTAGATAATTTTTACCAGCTGTTTAATGTCAGTAAAGGTTTTATAGTTCTATAACCTGCCTATGTTATACTGTACAGTACTTGTCTTTTTTTTTTAAGCTAATTCACCAGGGATCTGTTAACTTCTATCTTATAATTTAATGACCATCATGCTCTCGGAAGAAATCTGAGAACCTTCTTAAGAAAATGAGAGGTTGTCATTTGTAGCTTGTGGACACTGATTTTTTTATAGCTTGAAAGAGAAACGTACAGGTACAGTAATGGTTTTTGAAAGAAGTTGTAGTGTAATAATACTATGAATGAACAAGAGCTGGAGGTTGTGAATGATCTAAAGTATTTTGATTCAATGTGTTGCAAAGGAGACAGAAAACTGAAATTAACCAAACATTAATGCAACAACGAAGAAAATATGGAGCCTCGAAAACATTAATTAATGGGAAAGAGTACGAGTGTAAAGTGTGGAATGAAACTGCCCGATTGACTATTTGCTCCATCAAGAGTGAGCAGTAGAATTGGATAGTTAGAGCAGCATTATGGGAGTTGTGAGAATTGATACACAGTCCAGTGTTGTTGTGGGGAAGAGCTAAGATAACATGAGTCCATAGAAAGGTGTGATAAACCTTGTCCAACTATTAAAGTATATATTTTTTTTAATGTCATTAGTTGGAGTCTATCAAAACAAATCAATACCTGTTTATTAATATGAATTGGTACTGTATGTTATTGGAATGAATTTGCTACAGATAAATTTATGAATTGGGATACAAGTGTAGGTAGTAGGCAGCTATCAAACAGGGAGGTACTACCGCCTGGGAAGAAAGATACCGGAAGCATAATGTGACCAAGTCCCAGGATGCTGATCTGACTTCCTGCCTCATATATATACAATTGCAGGGTCTCAATTGTTTCTCTTACTTTGACAACAAAACATATACTGTACTATATATCATTTCTCACTCTTGATTTGTTTTATTTTTTCCTATTCTGTATTTCTCTACGGTCTAATTTATTTTTATTTATTTATTTATTTATTTATCTATTCATTTATTTACTTTTTTGTCCCCAGGCCCCGACGTGAATCAATGTCCTGTACCTGAGCGGGCTAAACCCCCCCCCACATTCAATTTCATCTTACAAAATAATACATACCCTGGGCGTGCAGAGCAAGTGTGTAGTTAAGTTGATACATCGTGTAGTGGCCGCTGTCAGCTGAGAGTGTGATGCTGGGTGCAGAACAATCCACAGCGAGGCATGAGGAGCAAGTGCTGTTACGAGGGCAGCTGTTGCTAGGGCAAGACCCGGCTGTCGATGAGGAGCTGCCAGGGACCCACACAGTGCTGACAGGTGGACAGCAGCCACATTCACACTGCCTTCCACACCTCCTACACCCTCATGGTGCACACCCCATACAACACCCCAAACAACTTCACTAAGCAGATCAGTCTGTTAAAAGGCAGAAGAAACAATAACTAAATCAATTAAAATATTCCACAATTGAAATTTATGAAGTTCCCTTTGGGTAGCTACAGTAGAGATATCTTTTATGACACTACTGTACTGCCTCATATAAACACACATTCTTCCTGGTACTGTACTGTAATGTACTGTACTGCCTCAAAAACAAAACAAATAAACATGTACAAAACTGCCATGAAAATCCCTCATAAGTCTACTTATTGTATAATGACATCCTATATACAGTACATCTAATTCTGGAAACTTTTTATAAATTCAACTTTAATCACTGGACTCACTTTTGATGGTGGTATGACAAGTGTTGATGATATTGACTGAGAGCAAAATTCCTCGGACAGTTGAGAGATGCGAGACAGTGTGGCCAGAAGGCGTAGCAACTCCCCAACTACTTCTTCTTCACCAATCTGGAAACATAAAGTGAGGATAAACTATAGAGACATTAGTGGGAGAGTAATCTTACTTATTTTCATAGGAATCCCCCCACTATGGAGAGGTGGATTATAATTGTACCTAGGTGAGAAGGGTTAACTTAACTTAGGTTGCAGTTTCATCATGGTCAAGTACCCACCTAGACCAGCTATACACACAGCAGTCATCACCCCATTATTATCTTTGGCACAATTATAAAACATAGATCTTACGGAAGGGAATACAGAGTCACCTAAAAATTGCAGTTTTCAGTCATATACAGTAATTAGGAATACAGTATTCTGTAGCCATTATGAAATGAAAAATTGCAGGGGAAGGCCTTTTCGATTCCAGAGGACGGGGGATTTCCAAATACAGGTACTCCCCGACTTACGACGGGGTTAGGTACCGACATCCAGGTCGTAAGTCGGAAATGCTTAAATAATACATAGAAAATCTAAAATGGGTGTCTCTTTTTCTTCTCAGCACCACAAAACACTCACTTTTAAGCTTGCCAGCCATTTTAAAGTGAATTACAGATGAAAATTTTGTCTGTGTACTGACTTTGGGACTCGAAAATACGTAATTTGACCAAATTTTGGTACGACTGAGGCAGGTCGTAAGTGCGGGTGGACGTAAGTTGAGTAGGTCGTAAGTCGGGGAGGAGCTGTAAAGGTACCTAAGAAAACTGAACCTACTATAATTTTTAGCCTGACTTAACACCCTCAGGGTTTTTATACATCATATGAATGATCTTTTTTTTTAACCCCTTAGGGCTTTAACATACGGTTAAAAAGTAAATTTTGCTTTGTCTCTTATATACTTTTAGCAGCTTGGTGCTGGCTCTCAGTACAGCTGTACTCGGTGAGTCACAGAGCCACTGGAGTTGGAAGGAGCTCTGATATGTCTGGCAGCAGTGTGTACTGTCTCGGCTGTCACACTCCGCCTCGTGCCCCCAGAAATACCTCCATTTGATGGCCCATATCATATAGATTTTTGTTTTTAAACATAGTATATTTAGATAAACTATTCAAGATTATTTGGGTATAAAATAGTGTTTCCAATGTAACTAGAACTGATTTTATAGACTCCGGTTTAAACATTTATTAAGTTTTTTCATAAAAGAATTGAGTTCCTAACATTACTGAATAACTTGTCAAAATATTTTGTTTAAGGTTATTTTTTTAAACAATCTTGTAGGGAATTTATTTAGGATCATTATGATATCAAATTAATCTTCCAAACACAATTAGTACAGCTCCTATAGATAAACGTTTATACACCTGACACTCGCTTTATGTGATGGTTGCATTCTACAAAAACACAACATAATGCGAATCTTGAAACAGCATCTTTAGCATTATGTAAATATTCACCCAAATATATAACACCAAATTATTCACTAAGTTATTCAACAATGACTCGGTAGTTGTTCCTGTTATATATGCCCCCCGAGACTATAGCTTCATCAGGAGTCGAGCGAGGTCACGCTGACTAAGATAACATCGCTTGATGGCTTCTCCTCGTTCTCACGCTTGGAGACAGCCAGAATATTACCACTCGCTCAAGGGTGAACACTTCACTTAAAGTGTTCCTATAAAAGTGTACTCCAAACACTTCCCTTGGAGAGAATTCACAATACATTCTCTCGAAAACTAAGTACCTGTGTATATAGACGCCTCAACAATAAAGAATGCCCAGAACAAGTGTTTACATCAACCCTGCCAATTAAGAGTTCCAGAACTAAGTGCCAACTATCGTGTGTGATAAAAAAAAAAAAACCCAATCACAATCCGCATACGCCATACGGGTATAGTGAATCTTATGGGAAAATTAGGATAAGTTCCACAACTACTAAAAGTCAACAGTTATGCTATAAAAGTTGTGGAAAAATCATTACAATACTCTAATGTGGGTTAGAAATACAGATACTGTATATAAAACTATGAACTGAGACATATGAAGAGAAAACACACACACACACACACACACACACACACACACACACACACACACACACACACACACACACACACACACACACACACACACACACACACACACACACACACACACACACACACACACACACACACACACACACACACACACACACACACACACACACACACACACACACACACACACACACACACACACACACACACACACACACACACACACACACACACACACACACACACACACACACACACACACACACACACACACACACACACACACACACACACACACACACACACACACACACACACACACACACACACACACACACACACACACACACACACACACACACACACACACACACACACACACACACACACACACACACACACACACACACACACACACACACACACACACACACACACACACACACACACACACACACACACACACACACACACACACATACACACACACACACACACACACACACACACACACACACACACACACACACATACACACACACACACACACACACACACACACACACACACACACACACACACACACACACACACACACACACACACACACACACACACACACACACACATACACACACACACACACACACACACACACACACACACACACACACACACACACACACACACACACACACACACACACACACACACACACACACACACACACACACACACACACACACACACACACACACACAACACACACACACACACACACACACACACACACACACACACACACACACACACACACACACACACACACACACACACACACACACACACACACACACACACACACACACACACACACACACACACACACACACACACACACGCACACACACACGCACACACACACACACACAAAACCGCATCCAGCCCATACGTGCACGAACTGATCGCTATAAGAACAGCCCAGTCCCAACCATTGTAAAAATTATCAATAACTACCAGTGTATTCACTCCCAGTAAACACTACTCCTTGCACTGTCACTATGTTGAAATGAACTGTAATTTGAGCTTTTCCCCATCTAGTTATTATGTATCTTATTTGTATCACTTATGTTACTTGTATATAATTTGTAATTCGAAACCCATTCCCCAAATATGTAACTGTATATTTTCAGCCTTCTGGCTGCCAAGCTCTTTCAATAAACCGTTAATTATTATTATTATTATTATTATTATTATTATTATTATTATTATTATTATTACACACACACACACACAATAATTGTCCTAAGGTCAAACACATAAAGATAATATACATTTCTTTGCACACGATAAAAAACTGTAGCCAAATGTTATTCACGGATGTGGCTATTAGCAGCCAACTTGAGAACCTACCCCCGCGAATTTTACGGGCATGCTGTTTATACGGTAATTCCTATTACGCTCAGTTTTGGAGCACTTTACCAAATATTGTAACTCATATGAGGACTCTCCATTAAAATTAAACCATATACTGCACTTGTACCTCCTTAGGCACTGTACAAGCTATGAATGCTTCCTTACATGAGAATAATGTTCATAAATGTGAATACTCTTATGTCCAAAAATAAAAGAATTTTCAACATGATGCAAGTGTGTCTGTAAGTGCATTATTTTACCTCCTATATATTTAACAAGTCCAGATATGTACAGTCATGGACAAAGGTTCAACTCCACCCGGTGAAACTGAATCACAGGAATGAGTCTCTGAACTTACTTACCCTGACTGTTGTCTAGTGTGGGTGTGCTGTTTTATCTCATGTGGGGTCAATACTGCTATATTTTGGGAGGAAGCAAACTTTGGACCCTGGGTTTACCTTGAACTCAGAACAAGTAAGCAGGCGTTCATACCTTCATGTAGATCTCGGTGGCATTTAGAAGTGCAGGTATGACATTTGAGTGAGTGAGGTGCAGCTGGGCGGTGTCAACAGGACAGCGCAAGAGACACTGATGTAGGAGGGATGTAGCAACACCCAGGGTGGATGCAGAGGTACAACTGTGACCCTCTGAGCCAGCCAGCCTACCGTGCTGCTGTATAAGACCCACCACTGGGCTCAGTAATGACAAAACTTGACCTGCAGATTTGCATAAATAAGGTGTGTAAATTAGTCATACACAACATGAATTACAACCTATTTAAAGTTATCATTAAGATCAACATTTCTACCTCAGTGTTATATGTCCTAACTTGTCACTGTTGCTAAGGAATTTCCCAATGATACAGAAACTCCACTCACATACAGTAATTCATTATGGGTATAGAATGACTAATGCTGTATGTTTTCTCCAGACCTGCCATACTCCAGTGGTGGCTCATTGGTGTAAAAGATAGCAGTATAATAATACATTACTGTACTTGAGATTTTAGATGTGTCAACTGAAGAAGAAGAAGAGGAAAACATATACTGAATTATCCAGGCACATTACATATTGTACACTTATTCAGGCTTTTCTAAACCACTTTTAATTTAAACTGGTTTAAAAGATTGAAGTCACTCATCTAATATATTCCAACTGAATCAAGTGGCAGTCAGCCAATAACCTACAAGTAACAGCAGTAACTATATTGGTTTACAATCTAAAGTCCCAAATTAGCCACAATAGACAACATATCCTGCCCTCCAAAAATGAGTACCTTGTGACTGGTGAGAGACCTCAGTGAGAGTAACCATCCTTAGTGCAGCACCCAAGATCAAGAGTTGACAGTGAGTTGGTGTAGACATAACAGCCTCTTGCACCATCACTAACAGCTTCCCTATTCTGATATATATGTCTGCCTTCTCTGCTAACTGCCTGTAATACAAAGTAATAATAAAATTATGTGCTTTTAAAGATTGTAAATATGCAGCCATCAACTACTCTCAAACAAGAAGCAATGTAAATATTTTAATACAATTCAGTAAATTTTCACTTGGGTCCAAGTTTTATGATGAGAATTCCCAGAATAAAAGCAACCCAAACTTACAATGAGAAACACATGAGGATAATCCTTAGTAGTACCATAACTAAGAGTATACTGTACTGACAACTTACTTTCCACAATGTTTAACCAGAGACAAGTATAGTTCAGCCAATAGGATGGTTAATGTTTCATCTACTGTATCCAGTTCAAGCTGGTGCAGCAAGGCATGAAGTATATCACTTGCCAGGTTCACCTAAAGAGAAAAACAACTACAATTCAGTACAGTATACTTATATTTCAATACCTTACATTCTTAAAATAGATATATAACTCATGTAGTAAGTAAATGTCTCTTCATTAATAATGTTTACTGCTCTCCCAGTCTTGTGTGACTTGGATCAAGGGATTCAGAACCTTCATAGATGTGAAATAACAAGAGAGTTGCAAGACAAATTTGCAAAATATAAGGAGGGAGTGAAGACCATACAGTACAGTACAGTACTTAGAATTGTTACACATTCTTGCTCATACCCTAAACTTACCTAATTATTAAAAAAAATTTATCTTCAGCACCCACAATGATTTCCAACACTTCACAATAATTCACTGCATATGGTAACAATATGACAGCTTACCTTTGACCATCAATTATAGTTAATCACACATACACACCTTCTGGTCACTGCTCAGCCAAGACTTGGCTCGGGCCACTAGCACCACCACGAAGTCACGCCATGCTGGTAACAATAACTCACTCACATCTTTGTTGGAGCTGGATCCACTTTCAAGGCTCATTACAATGTGCTGAGGAGGAAACCGGTTGTTAATGATGATGTAATCTCTTCAAATATTTCTATAAATGTGTCAATTCAACTATAATCTGGAAATTAAACTTAAACTGAGTGCAGTCACTTCTCCTAAAATGCTGTAGCTGCATTCCTGAAAAACACCACATTAAAGAAAAATTATGTTGTACTAACCATTGATTCAATGGGAATTAAGGAGTTGGGTGGCAGTAGGTTCAAGAACACCAACATGACCAAAATGGGTCCTACTTTCACTCTCATAATATTGTTTGTTATTAATAACTGTGTTTTAGTTTAACAATATCATTCATTAATAGAATAAGAACATTACCAGGAGGAAAAATGCTTGTTACAACGTGTCAGTGTGTGTTGATGTATGATAGAAAATGGAGCAGTGAAGGACGAACATGGTGAGATAATACGTGGTGGAGTGTGACTCCCTCAACAGCTTTTAATGATGAATTATTTTTAAATCAAAACATTTTGACCACAAGAAGAGACGATGGTTATATGAGACGAGTGGTGGAGGAGGTGAGGGTTCATACCACTTTATCACATCTTATTTTTGTTCATGAGTTACAGCTTTTCTTTCTTTTACTTCACTTCCACTAGTGTACCACCACTACCAGAATGCTTCACACCCTTGCCACACATTGTAGTTTAAAGCAATATAGTTGATACTGTACAGTACTTGTACTAATGTAAAGCACAATCTGTGATAACAGATGTAAGACACATGCGCCGAGGCGACCACATCACTTTTTACTCCTACTCGAGTGATATACAGGAACTCCTCGACTTACGACCACCCGGACATACGACCGCCACAGTCGTATAAAATATTTTTCAAATTATGTATTTTCGAGTCCCGACGTTAATGATCGCGCTGTGTACGGACAAAATATTTGTTTGTAATTCCCTTTAAAATGACTGGCAAGTTTAAAAGTGAGAGTTCTCGTGGTGCTGAGAAGAAAAAGAGACACCCATTTTATAATTTCTATGTGTTATTTTCGCCTTTTCGATTTACAACCAATTCGACTTACGACCTGGTCGTCGGTCCGGAACCCCATCGTAAGCCGAGGAGAGACTGTAGTTCCATTTACTCAATCACATTATAGATACCCCTCGCATAATGAATGTTCAAGAAATGAAAATTCACTTCAACAAATTTCCCAAATTACCACCTCTCTCTCATTTAATGAAATCTTCACCCGCTTATACGAATTTGGGTCCCAGCAAAAATTCAAATCCCCCCCCCCCCAACCCACAGGAGTCAGCTCAGGCAGCCATCTTGGAGAGATGGGCAGAGACACATTCTCACTCAATGATCATAACACACCCCCCTCCTTCCTGCATCTCAACCTATCCCGTGTCTTTTGTTCCACCGTTCCCCGCCCCTTGTGGTGAGCCCTGACTGCCCTCCCTTAAGGTAATCGCTCGCACCATTCAGTTTGTTTGAATTCACAGCTGAGGATGGTGGTGTGCTTATTTAGGTGTTACACTCAACATTGCTGGCAAAGTTGTTTTGAAATTGGTAGCGATGACAAATTCTGTATAAAAAATCCTCCTACAGTATACAGTACTATATAATGACAAACAAAATTACGTTTGACATGGTAAGTGAACTTATACTGCTCACTAACCAATTCTCATTTACAAAATGCGCTGAACTATGCAGTCTAAACACTTCTGGTTTTAACTGATAATAATGCCATTAAATCATGACAAATACAGTACACAAGTCCCCTGATTTAAAATATTCTCTCACCTTAGACCACTGACAGATGGCACCTGTATCAGGATTACACAGCTGATCCATGGCTGATCTGAGTGAAGCCGAGGGTTTAGTATTACTGGAGAACACTTGTCGAGCAACGACTTTGAGGGAGTGACCCACTACAGCGTCACTAACTTCACCTGCAGGAAAATAAAAATACTGTTACTATGCTTTCAAAAATATCCAAGTTATTAAGGTGCAGTATAAAAATTAACCAGAACTTGTAAGTCAGGAATAAAATATACCATAAATAGTGAAATTTTGTACAAAATAGGATTTTGACAATTTCTGAAAACCCTTTTTCTTCAAATAAAAAACAGGTATTTAAATGACTCAAAATGTTCTATTTTAAGGGTTATTAATTAACACCATTTATTCAAACTCTTAATCAGCATATCTGTACAGGTATAGACAAAAAAACAATGTACAGGTGTTAAGTTAAAGATTTTAAAATGAAAGAAAAAAGTTCACTTTAAAAAGGGTAGGTTGGGTGTTTAAATTATTCCAATACTCGTTTCTACCTTAAGTTTAATGAACCTGCATAATATTGGTATGTAAAATAATACAAGACACAGAAACAAACATCACACATCAATGAGGAGATACTGTAAACTGTACAGTGAAAATCAATAAATTCTATCATGTAGCACCGAGTGTGAGTAAAGTGAGAATCTTGAGAGAGACATTATCGTTGGAGAGGGAAAAGTTCTCTCACAGCTGAGTTTTTGTTGGCAACTGAGGCCAACCAGAGAACATTATTATCACTCTTCAATAACAACCAATACAGATAAGATGTGATGAAGGGCCACACAGTTTTCCAGGTGGGTAGTTTTAGTCAACTTTTATTTGTGTTGTTGCTTACTGTAAGGGTAATACTGTATTGCTCACCTGGCTTACCAGTGGTGATGGGATGAATCAAAGCCTTCCAGAAATCTTCTTTATCTTGGAGGTATACTGTGGCTGTAGTGTATTTCTCACTCCATAAGGCATCCAAAAGTTCTACTACTGCCAAGGCAAGTTCTCGTCCAGATTCATTTCTTGTCTGTTAAATTATATGAAGTTGAGGATAAGTAAAACAAATAAATAATTTGCAGCCTTACTTTAACCCTTTAACTGTTATCATCGTCTTTGGCAGATTTACCCAAATTGTGTTATTGTCGTCTTAAGACAGGCGGTATTGGGCGCCTCAATCAACTTGCTATTATTATCTTGGAATAATTTGAAATTATCTATGCCTCATCACCCTCCTCCTGTCCTCACTGACCCCCCACCCACACCCACGATGCCACAGCCTGGTTCATCACCTACATAAGGGCTTACCACCCACAGTGCACCACAATAATCTACTACTGCACCACCACAATCATGTCATTTGTCACCCAACCACTTCTTGCATCACAAAAACACCCATGTGCCAGCAGTTGCCAGTTAATCTCTGCCTCACTTCAAAGATTCATAACTTGCCACCCAAAACAATGATAGTGGCCAACACTGCTCAAATCCTGCTCACAACAACAAAGGAAAAGCACTGAACAGTAACAAAAAAACATAGCAAAAATCATCTCACAGTCACCAAACCAGAGTACAATGTGTATGTTAAGTGATGTCTTCTCACTGTAAGGTAAAACAAACAAAAAAAAAACACCAATGATAAGTAACAACACCGATGCTGACTGATAAACGTGGAGCTACACGATCATGGCCATGTGTGATCACCATGGAACAAAACTTGGGACTGTAGTGCACCGGGTGGCAGAGCACAGGTAGACTTCCCCTGATAATTGCGCACAGAGATGCGTTTCATATTCCCCATTGGCTGAACAATGACCATCATTCACACAATTTTTTTTTATTGTAAACAGTCTTAATACTGCACATCATCATCGTTCACACAAAATATCGTAGATAGGGAGATCATAAATCAGGGGATACCTGTACTCAATAAAACATAAAAACACATCTACTACAAGAGGACTGCAATTACAGCCCATAGAAATTCCCTTAATCTGCTTGAATAAAATATTACAAAATGAAACATGAATTGGACAAGACAAAACTAACGGCTTTCTTTAGCTTATCAGCTGAAAACAATAATAACAAGAATAACCTAAGTAGATAGTATTAGAAAAGAACCCATCATTCTCCTTAAGACATATAAACTTCTATTTAGTACTATGAACTTTATCTATTATACTAATAATACCATTGTCAACTAGATCAAGTCCTAAACTCATATATACCCCCTGTATATACAGTAATGTGGAAAAATAAAAAACTTGTAAGCAGTTGAACTTGTCACAATTTAAACCCACCACAAAAATTAATACTCCAGAGCATATTAACTCCTGAATTTCTATGTAAGGCATCACAGTATTTTTTTTTAATTATCACGAATGATTTTAAGTGTATTATTAACCAAAATAGAAAGTTGCTTAGTAGAATATCTATTGGCCCCTGCAATGAAGCTACATTTAAAGGGTGTCTTATAAATTAAGTCACCATGTTAAAGAGCATGTGCAACTGATAGAGCCATAATGTTAATATGGTGAAGTACATAACCTACTAACACTCACTGATGGATTTGCAAGAGAAGTAAGAGGGTCCAGTAGTTTTTCAGGTGGGGTGAGGAAAGCATTTGTAAGACCCTGCTGGCGGGTTGTAGAAGCCGTTAAGAGACGTAACAGAGCGACCTTCACTCGTACATCTTCTGTTGCCGAGTCTAAGCGTCGTAAGAGTGCATCTCGAATCCCATCGGCTTCACTTCCAAAACATGCCACCAAAGGTACATCAAGTTTCTGAAATATTAAGCAAAAAGTATTAAAACACATTACAGTATCTCTCTACTGTATGAACCCATTACTTGAGAGTGGTAAGAAGACTGATACAAGCAGATAGAAAGGCAGGCAATAAACTGTAAATTTATATGTTCGTGAATGATAATCAATAACTAAAATATAACTTTGTAAAAAAACAATAAGGATAACATGTGATATCAGGGAGAAAAGTATGATGTTATATGCTATTAACAGTGTTTACAAGACATTCAAAGCTGAAAATTCTTCTATGTACAAATATGAGTGTACGAATAATATTTATGGGATACACAAACTGTATTAGTCTGATGTAGAGGAAATTAGCAAGTAAGATAGGATGGCAGTCGATGGAGAGTGATGTTAAGAGGAAGCTATGGGATGGGAGAATTCTTAGGACAATTCTCCTGGACTGTATTCTGGTGTGTGGAGAGTGGGCTACCTGTTCAAAATAACCTAAATGGCAAATATGTGAAACAGCAATGGAATTTAGAGATGGTTGTTTATAACCTGTTTTTATATCACTGCAAGAATTTGCATCTGATAATGTAAGCTAAATGATGTAATGAATGCACAATACACACTGGAATCAATTATAAATTCTGAACTGACCAAGAAAGTAAGTTGAAATTATTGAAAATTTCAATTTCAATGGAAAAGACAAAAACTATACCTGGGCAAACCGTGTAAGAGTGCGAAGAGCCAAGTAGGAGAGTCGAGGGTTGAGCCGCTGATGGGCATATAGAGCCACAGTTAACGCCAAGTGTGGAGGACTGCTACTGCCAAGTGAGCGTCCTCCACCACCCAGCGTCACTCCCAGGGACGGTGCAGCACGAAGAAGCTGACTTAGGCCTCCCATACTGCTGTCTTCACCTACTAACCTAGAAATTAATGAATTGTTCATGTTATTACTGTAAGAGGTAACATATATCATAAACACTTTTGTTTTATTTTCATGGGAAAATACATATCATAACTGAGAAGCAAGTGGCTGAACCTGGGTAACACAACCTGTCATTTGACATGAATATACATTATAGTCCAACAGGTTAACATCATATATACATTAAAAACTTTCTGAAATAACAAAGCCTAAATTCACCCTCAACAGGATCAAGATACTGTACTGTGAAGCAAGACCAGATTTCAATCCTGAAAGATAGTATTGTACTATACAATGGGCAAAGTGATATGAATAGGTAATAGTTTGTGCTTGCAAAGTCCTATTTTCTGGAAGAGAAGGAAAGATGTAGCCCTAGGAGGAAAATAACATTACACTATCTTGTTAGGTAACACACAAAGCAATTAACCCCAATGACAGGATGGGCATTCCAAATGTGAAGGCACATCAAGCATAACAGCATATGCATGGTGAGGTGGTCATCTTGTCCAAAACAGAGCACATGTAGTAAACAATGAACATCATCACACATTAATGTACACATACCAATCTATACAAACCAGACATTTATTCTGAGTGTGGCATTTAAAATATAAAGAAACAATAGCTACCTGTGGAGAATGGAAAGAGCCATCTGGGCCGTACGTGTGAGTCTGTGAGCGTGGGTAGATATGGGGGAGTGTGTTGGGTGGTTTAATGCCGACTCTAAACTTGCCCCACTCACAACCACTGACAGCAGTGTCTGACCAGCACTGCTTCTGTCTACAAGCTGCCTCACTACTAGATCACGAACACTGGTGTCTGTAAGAAAATTGACCATGAGTATAGAAGTATTCATGTGGAACCCTGATAATTCATACAATATTCATGCAATCAATGAAATAAATAAAGACTAACAGTTCAGAAAAAACTCACCCATCTTGGAAGCTTCCAGTGTATGGTGTAGAAGGGCTAGGCAGTGGTCAAGCACAATCTCCCTCTCCTCCTGGTTGCTGTAACACCAGCGCAGCAGAGCTCCTGTTACCTCTCTGGCCATAAATACAACGCCACCCCTTACACAACCACTGCTAACACCTCCCTGAAAAAGAAAGAATTATATCCTGGCTGAGTTTTTGTTAAATGTTTTATGAAAGATTGCACCATGTTTAGCCGCATCCTCACATGGTTGGTGCATGGATGGGAAGACCAACCGCTTGGGTAATGCTGGATTTTTCTGCTTGAGGACCATTTATAATTACTGTGCAAACATAAATATTTCTTTAAATGTATTATACTGTACTACATACAATACTAATAAAGTAAAATAATACACTAATAAACCAATGTAACTCCTTAACTTAGGCCCCGAGTGATGCTCCAGAACGTCCACCTATTTTCCCGCCATTTTTTATTTATTTATTTTATTTTTTATTTATTTTGTTTATTATTTTTTGGAAAAGTTGATTTTTTTCACGATTTAACCCTGGGGATACTGCCAGCAGCACCCTAAAACATGAATCAACTACTGTTCCATCAATCACAAAATGGCAAAGAAAGAATGAAATCATAAGCTAAAAGAAAAGTCTTATTTAATAAAGAACAAAGCATAAAAGATATAGATTATAGACATAAAATACTGAAACTAACCTTGATGGCTGCAGTTAGTAAGCGAGTATAAGAACAGAGTATGGGATATTTGCCCATGGCTGCTTCCTCTCCACAGACCAAGGCACGGAGGCCTCCTGCACGATATCCGAGGAATGGGTCCCCCTTGCCTCTCTTGACTCCAACTAAGGAGAAAGCATAGATGTTTAAAACCCAAACCACAGAACAAAAACATGGTAGCAGTTCATGGGTACAGTGGCAAGATGGATACTGTACTGAGCTGGCAGTCCATTGGTCCTTGAATTCAAAACTTCACTGGGAAGACAACATGTGATTGATATCTAATGTGACCCAGTACCAGTAATACAGTACTGTACAGCATAAGAATAATAATAGCTGGTCTTTTGTTTCTGAAAAGTGCCAGTTCTTCTTAAGACCTGAGAATAAAAAAAATATACTAAAATACATCATTCATACTGTATATCCAAAAGCTGTAACACTTCCTAAACCCTGTAAATCTCCATCACTGTACCTTATACAGGATCATAAACTTAAAAAAAAGAGAACTTAGGTTGTTACTTAAAGGCCTCCACAGAAGTCAGCAGCTTCATGGATGCAGGCAACTGGTTGTACAATCTGGGTGTTGTATAGGAAAAGGATCAAGCAGTAAATGAACACTCCTGTACTGTTAGGGTGTGAGGGATCATCACTACTATGTGTAGTCAGTGGAATTACTAGGTTGGCCAAATACTTAGGCTCACCAAACATTAGTGTCATAAAAGTCATTAGACAGAGTTTGAACTCTAACTTAGCTTTAATTGGAAGCCAGTACAATTTGATCAGTAATGGGGTAGTGGAAGTCCTCAGTGGGAGAGCAAAAGCATGTCAACCCTGTTCAACACTGTTTGAACTTTCTTAAGGTAGACAGACCCATAAAGTGTTACAATAGTCAACCCGAGACAAAACAAGTGAATGTAATAATGTCACAAGACACTCTATCCCAAAACTGCTTCACAACTTATAGATTTCAAAAATTAAATTTGCAACTCTTAACCATTGAATTTATATGTTCTTTAAAATTCAGTTTTGATTCAAAGTACATGACAAGATTATGAACAAAATGGACAGGTCTGAGTTGTACTTCCCCAAAGTTTAAAGAGCCAACATCATCTGTGCCGTCTTCTCTCCTATTTCCTCGGATGACAATAATCAGTTTTGTCGTCATTCAACTTAAGTTTTCTCCTAGTCATCCAAGTCTTAATATCAGACATCACGGATTTCATTGTCTCCTCAATATCCGCAACATTTATTAGTGTTTATTATCGGCATAGAAATGGTAGGCAACACTATTAGCATCCAGCAGAGATGCAAGACTGTAAACAGAAGTGATCCCAAAACTGATCCCTATGGGACTCCAAACTGCAAAGGAACCGGGTCTGAAATGGTTCCACCAACCATAACACATTGAGATCACTCTGAAAAATAAGATGCAAGCAGTGAGTGTGTGTCATCACGGACCCAGTTGATCTCCTCACTTATCTCCACATTCCTGAACCATCTCTGCCTACCTCTACACCAGCGGTTCCCAACCTCAGGTCGCGACCCAAATCAGGGTCGCGGGGTGTCCTCAATAGAGTCGCGAGGGGCCTTCAGACAATTTAAAAAATATAGTACTTATCATAAAGTCAAACAAATTTTTGCTTAACATTCAAGCTATATAATATATTATATGCCTGAGGGTCACGACACTGTATTGTTGGGAAATTTAGGGTCGCAGCCAAAAACGGTTGGGAACCACTGGTATACACAAGTCTTCACCAAAACTCTCAGTACCTCTTAGGGCACAATCTTATATTTGCCTCAGCTAATCCACCACAAACAAAAATAGTTATCACATTCTTGCAGGTTTTATCTCACTGTGCAGTAAGGTGGCCCACATCTGCAGCAACACTGACCTTCCCTTCAATCATTCATTCCCTCCATGGATTGTAATAAATATGTTAGGCTATGGTAGTCCTTTTCCCTGTTGTTTCACAGTCATTTATTTTTTGAAGAATTACAATTCCCTGGGGACATTAAATATTTGCAAATACCATTACAGATTTTTTTTTTAGCAGCAGGTCTTTCTCCCATGATTTTAATGGTTTAGACTTAAGATATTTGTCACCTGTGACCTAGACTATGCACATGTTCTTGATAGTCATTAACATCTGCACATTTTTCCATATTCAAGAATGTTTAAATTTGAAGGCATCAATAGTTATATACACAGATAATAAAAAAAACATAACAAATTTGGTTATGGAACTTTGAAGAATAAATTATCTAAAAAAATTATTAGTTAATACTTCATTACAGTTATGAGTATGTACTCCCTCACTACTCCCTCACATGTTTTTTTTCCAAACATTATGCTCACTGCTGGGATCCACATATTAGCACTTTGCATGTACTGTAATATATATATATTTTTTATTTAGGTTACAGCCTCAGTTTAAGTCTAAGATCATTTCAGATATTATTCATGAATTGCATGACATGTCAGTCAGTTAAGTTAATTTTTATATCTTCAATTACAAATAAAATTCAACATTCAATCTACTGAGGCTCCAGCCCCATAAACATAACCCTGTACTTCCCATTTGTTCTTCAGCTTTACAAGACACATTTTAATAGTAAACAGTGCTTAGGTGTCACCACTCCATTTCTTATCAGGAGGTTACTATATTCTGTAAATAAACAGCCAAATTCCTACTACTGTACCTCTGCTAATTATTTTGTCTACTGAACACAATCCTCAGAATTAAGTAAACCCTTGATAACTCAGCATTCATTTCTCTAAACTTCATATAATTTGGCACAGATATGATCTCGGAATTCATTAAAAAGTAATTCGGGAAATTTCTTGTTATATATAGTCTCTCCTCGACTTACGACAACCCGGACATATGACGGCCATGGTTGTATAAAATATTTTTCACATTACGTATTTTCGAGTCCCGACGTTAGTGATCGCACTGTGTACTGACAAAATTTTCGTTTGTAATTCCCTTTAAAATGGCTGGCAAGCGTAAAAGTGAGAGTTCTCGTGGTGCTGAGAAGAAAAAGAGACACCCATTTAGATTTTCTATGAATTATTTTCGCCTTTTCGACTTACGACCTGGTCATCATGACGGAACCTCGTTGTAAATCGAGGAGACTGTAAAGTTATCTGGGTAAATCTCATCATATTTGGCCTCGTGGGTAACACTCGCTCCACTCTTGGTCAGTCTGGTGTTTGTTATTGTTGTGGTCAGGTGTGTGCCGGCTCACTCCACCCAGTACATGGACGTGGGAAGGGAGGTTGCTGTACACCCCAATATTTGAGGTATAAAGTACTATACATTCAACACCCCCTGGTTAAATATAGTTCCTGCCGTACTAGCCCAGTAACACCCAACAACCTCCCCCATTCATGTCAGGCCAGCCACTGTATGCAGAACATCTCCACTATTATGGTAAATCCAATGTCCTAGATTTTATTTAATTTACAGTTCAATTCATTTCATCCAAATTCCAACTATCTGAATCTTCCAGAAGTTTCAGGTATCCCAACTGTCTCCCCTTTGGTAAAAATTATAATTTAGTCCAACAATCTGTGTCACCTACTATACCTCTGTGTCACCTACCATGATGCTTCATTCTTCACCTACAGTGCTGTAAGTGTTACCTTTTTATATTTAGTAATTACATGTACACATATGGATATGGGTCAATAATTTTTTATTGTTGTAATTTTTGAAGGGGGGAGCATCTGGATAAGACGGAATTGGGGATAATTCAGCAAGGCAGAGAGCCCCATATGTGCCGAGTTATCAAGGGTTTACTGTACCTGACATTCTAGACATCTATTCTTCATATCCGAGCAGTACTATACACAAAAAAAAAGATGAAGCTTAATCAATCAAACTTATGGTGACAAAGAACCTATACCTGTATTCTGTGAAGAAGCTAAGAAGGGCAGTAGTGGGCTGCCTTCAAGTTCTGCCCACACCTGTTTTGCATCCTGAGTGGCAACCTCTGCCAGGAACTCCAGCAGTGCTGCTACCAGTGCTCCAGGGGGTCGGGTCACCTGTGACACTCTGCACATAATATGTTTGTCAATACTTATCACATTAGTTAATAAAATAATTATGGGTACGTACTTGATTATCAAAGACAACCAAAACATTTGTGAGGTTACATGTTGAATATAAACTATGAAAGCAACTGGAAATCTTACATAATAACTTAACCAGAAATGGTTGTAGCTAATATTAACAGGGCTACCTGCAATTCTGAGCAAGAACCTGTCATATTATGCTTTAACACAAACTGAAATTACTATTACATCCCCCAAGCTTTTAGTCAAGGAGACAAACATTAAATAAAATCATAAATATATACCAGTACTGTACTAATAAACCTACAGATGGTGGTAATTGATTACAGTGGGGTATGCTATAACAAACGGATCCTACTACCAATATTCCTATAACGAACGGGTTTACCTATAAAAGTGAG